AATTTCTTCTCTCCTCTCTCTTATTTGCAGAATAACATAATAAACACATTTTTTGTGTGATAGAGCGATTTTCTTTTACGAATGATGGTAGGTAAAATAAAAAGGAAGAAAAAGGAATGATAAGTTGGAAATTTTCAATCATTTTTATTTATTTCTCTTCTATGCTCGATATTTTTCGATGCACTTAATACAGTTACGACTTTCTATTGAGATAATGTTTGATCATATTCATACCGATCTGTAGAACAATAAGTTGATTCAGAGTTAACATCGATTAAGTCTTGTGTTTAAACATCCATTTGCACATTCTTATCAAAATAGTTTAGCTTCATTATACTAATACAAAACAGGTAAAATGAATAATATGTACAGTCAGTGTCCATAATAACGATACTAAAAAAATAACATGTCTTGTTTGATTTGGTGCATAGCCATTTTACACTCAGATCAAAATATTTTCAGATATGCATGATCTTCTTGGAAGTGTTCTCTTTCGAATGATACAGCGAACCCTCTTTTAGACATTGTATGTTATGCCTTATAGGGGCAAAATAAAAATATTCATAACTTTTGAAGAAAGCCCTAGGAACCCAAATCCTTTTAGAGTTTTTACTAGGACACTATGTAGTATCTACAGACAAAAATTCGTTGAGATCGGAGGGTAACACCTGCGGAGGTTCTCTCGTAAGCCATTTTTTGACCCTAGTACCAACACTCAGCCGTTTTTGGCCCTAATAACAACACTAAGCCATTTTTTGTCCTTAATAACAACATTTAGCCATTTTTTGTTCCTAATAGCTGTACATCATTATTAAAATAGTACAAGAAATTTTCCTTATACAACATACAAAGCGGGCTTATAATATTTTAATAATAATGCAGTTATTTGGAACAGAAAATGGCTAAGTGTTGTAATTGTGGACAAAAAATGGCTTAGTGCTGTTATTAGGGACAAAAAACAGATATGTTGTTATTAGGGTAAAAAAATAGATGTGTTGTTATTAGGGTCACTAAATGGCTTAGTGTTGTTAGTAGGGTCAAAAAATGACTCAGTGTTGTTACTAGGAACAAAGAATGGCTCAGTGTTGTTTTTAAGGACAACAACGGCTTAGTGTTGATATTAGGGTCAAAAAATAGATGTGTTGTTATTAGGGTCAAAAAATGACTTGGTGTTGTTATTAGGGTAAAAAAAAAGATGTGTTACTATTAGGGTCAAACAATGGCTCAGTGTTGTTTTTTGAGAGAAAAAAAAACGGCTTAGTATTGTTATGAGGGTCAAAAAATGGTTTAGTGTTGTTATTAGGGTCAAAAATTAGCTGACTGCTGTTATTAGGGAAATGGAGCCTAATAACAGCAGATGCAGGTTGTTTTCGTATACCACTGATTTCTCTGCGACTACGTGTGAGAGAAAAATGGTTCTTATATCATTCGAAAGAGCACACTTCCAAGATCATGCATATGTAAAAATATTTTGATTTGAATGTAAAATGGGTATGCACCAAATGAAACAGGACATGTTAACTTTTTAGTGTCATTATTAGGGGCATCGACTGTAATGCATATTTTTTCCGACCTTCGATTATTCTCTCTGCATCTGTCAATGAAGTCATTCGAGCGGTAAATGAGAGAACAAGCAAAATTACGATGATATAGGTATGAAAACAAAAGATATGTCAATAATATATGATCATGTTCTATTTTCCGTATATGGATGAATGCACACAAGCCAAACTTTTTTTTTCCGATGTCTATATAAATAAGACAATGCTCTCATTTTCTTTTGCATAGAATAATCTTGATTCATTACATCGTTATTCTCCTCATCAGCACAAAAGCCTTCGCAAGAATACACTGAGCAAACGTAAGTGTTTTGCAAATTACATCCTCTTCAGAAGACATTTCTCATTATAAGCATCCAACGAATTTTTCTATCATTAAGTAGTACCACTAATGAGGGAACATTCCCAAGTGATCTGCTCTATTTACATTCATATTATACCCATATATAGGGGACCATTAGATTAGAATAATCTCCAAAGGGTTCCTGGTCTTGTTGAAATTTGACCGAAATATCGAATTTTTTAGTTGATCTTACTTATAAGACGTTAGTTTTTGAGTAAAATCATATCTTCGAATTTTGATCTAAAACTTTGTCAACATGAAGGTCTTGCTATGACTGACTCATGTATAAAGTTTCATCATTCTTGAACTTTGCGTCGCTGACATATGAATCTTTCAAAATATCAATGCTTTACATTGTATATATCTATAGAACAGTAGTTTTTTCGAAAATTTGTATTTTGAAGATAAAATGTCTAAAAATGATTAAACTTTATATACAGTCAATGTCCCTAATAACCACACTAAAAAAAATAGCATGTCTTGTTTGATTTGGTGCATAGTCACTTTATACTCGAATCAAAATATTTTTAGATATGCATGATCTTGGAAGTGTGCTCTTTCGAATGATATAAGAACCATTTTTCTCTCACACGTACTCGTGCAGCAATCAGCGGTATACGAAAACAACCTGGATCTGCTGTTATTAGGGTCCACTTTCCTAATAACAACAGTCAACTAATTTTTGACCCTAATAACAACACTCAGTCATTGTTTATTCCTAATAACTGTACATCATTATTAAAGTAGTATAAGCTTATACTATTTTCATAAAGATGTATAGTTATTAGGAACAAAAAATGGCTAAATATTGTTATTAAGGACAACAAATGGCATAGTATTGTTATTAGGGTCAAGAATTGGCTTAGTGTTGTTATTGAGGTCAAAAAATAGATGTGTTGTTATTAGGGTCAAAAGATGACTTAGTGTTGTTATTACGGCCAAAAGATGACTTAGTGTTGTTATTAGGGTCAAAAGATGACTTACTGTTGTTATTAGGGTCACTTGGTTTTTGGTCAATGGTAGACCCTCTCTCTTCAAGTTTTCTATCTCAAAAAGTGAAAATTTATTCATTGTGAACCTTTAGATATAGATAGAGCTCATTACACTCTACAAAAATGTCAATAGGACCTTCGCTTGATTTTCGATCAGAAATCGTGAAAAAATTGTTTTTATTCAAAAAGTACATTTTGGCTTGTATTTTATTATAGTGTTGTTATTAGGGTCAAAAATTAGCTGACTGCTGTTATTAGGGAAATGGAGCCTAGTAACAGCAGACGCAGGTTGTTTTCGTATACCACTGATTTCTCCGCGACTACGCGTCAGAGAAAAATGGTTCTTATATCATTCGAAAGAGAACACTTTCAAGATCATGCACGTCTAAAAATATTTTGATTTGAATGTAAAATGGCTATGCACCAAATCAAACAAGATATGTTAGTTTTTGAGTGTCGTTATTAGGGACATTGACTGTATGCGCTAGTCATGGCAAGACCTTCATGTTGACAACGTTTTAGATCAAAATTCGAGGATATGAGTTTACTCAAAAGCTAACGTCCTATAGGAAAAATTCAATAACGCTTAGAAATTTCGGGCAAATCTTAACAAGAGCACGAGCCGTTTGTGCGTTATTCTAATCTAATGGTCCTCTACATATGGGCATAGTATGAATGTAGACAGAGCGGAGCACTTTGGAATATTCCCTTGTAAGTTTGTGAAATATTATCTCTTCAACTGGAATTTGGGGAAGTTGAAATACCTCGAGCTCTAAAATTTTGCTGTGTATTTTTCGATCACACCGAACGATTATAAATGTAAAGCAGTTTAATTTTCCTGTGGTTCCATAGCACACTCATAGTACTAGAAAATAATTGTTTCCCCAGCATAAATGATCTCCTAGCTTTTTGCTCGATATCTTTTTGAGTTTTCATAATGTCAAACCATTGGTGCAAACTAAGCAAACGTTTTTGTTGAGCATTGAAAGCTGTACTCTGTAAATGTGCATCAAAACTCTTCGGTTAAAAGCCTATGGAATTAAATAAATGTTAGTTTTCATGAATTTTCGAAAATATTCCTGTTTTTCACTGTATTTTCCAGTTTTTGAAAAACTACGGGCAACTTATCCTAGTATTTTTTTGCTGAAGCAAGGTTTTGATTTGTGTAGATGCCACTAAATGATAGTATATAAGACTTGCCGCATTCTGAAACAGTGCTACTTCGAATAGTTTATGTGTCAATAGTAAGAGAAAGAATGCAAGACAAGGACTAGTTTTTCGAAAAATAAATTTTCTATGTAGAATCTTTTACATGGTGCTTCAGTACCAGCAAAAAACGTGACCCAGTATCAAGGAAAACACTTGGAAAGTTATTATTGATAGGCTCCCGTAGTATTATTATGATAAGTTTTTCTTTTTATATCTATGTAAAAATTTTCTGTAGGACTTTGTAGAGAATTCTATATTCGTCAAGTTAGTTTTTACGGTAATCGAAAGTTTTCTATCAATATTAGAAGAAAATTTGGATATCTGGGAGTGGCCAATCAGTCTGATACCTCAATCTTTATTTCCTTAAGTAGCTTCAGTGAGATATCAGAAACTCGTGATTTTTTTAATAATTAGTACAAGAACGGAAGAATAATTTCTTCCAAAAAAAGTGATCTAATTCTAATGAATTTCTCTATTGCATTCCGAAAGTATAAAAGTTCACATTCTCAATGTGAGAATCGTCTATATCCCACCTCAAACAGTACAGCAATCCAATCAGCTGTCGGTTCGATTTAATTAGAGCGCGTCATTTTTCAATACAAATAACCATCGATTGTGCGTGATATTTTACTCACTCGATTGAATACTATCAGTCGTGTTTTCCTAAGCTAATCTGAGAGCTTCATTATGGAATAGAAGTATATACCTTATTCGTATTTCTCTTATGATACCACCTTGCTCAATCTCTCTTATTTTTGCTTCCTTTGTAGCAATACATACGGATAATATCTAACACAGCAAACTCGATCAGATTTTCATAGAAATCTTTCACGAGTCATCCTGCAATGATGCGTCTGGTTACAATTCTCTTTGTCGCAATACTGTCATGCAGCTGGAATGGTAAGTGCATTTTATTTTAAATGAATGCTAACTACTAACTGACTGTTCAGTATGGTTTTACACGATATTGTAGCAGCAAGAAGCTAATATATTATAAAAGAATCAATCAATTGAAAATTCATAATGTGTTTTTTTCGACTTATTTTATATTATACAAGATTTCGACTGAGACTTCGGAAGCAAAGCAAAATCAGGCTTATATTCAGCATCAAAGGTTGACTCAACGTGTGCGCACTTTTAATTCATCGGATAACTTTTCTTTTCTTTTCGAAACTGAACTCGACTCTTTGCAGGAATGTATAAACTATCTTGTGATTAAATATTTCTTTTCTTGTATTCAAAATGTCATTGCCGTGTGCATCTTCATCTTCGTGGCAGTCAATACTATTTTGCTCGATTAACACATCATTTTCTACATCAGAATGACATCTATTTTTATCCAGATAATTCGGATCGCTATTGAGATCAAGTGTAGAAAGAGCACTCGCGTATTACTTACAATGGAAGGTCGCGTACTGTCAGTGAAGAAGATTGACCATATTCGGGTCAAATGAAAGCTCTCACCGCCAAACTAACAAATTCAAAATATTACGTGTCCATTGCGCACCTAGAGAAAGTTATTTCAGTTTCAAGTTATGTGAAATCTGGGCATAAAATGAATCAGAAATTGTTTTCTTCACTATTGTAAGGACAATACATGGTGTTGTTCGGACCATATGAAAGAGTGCCCCTCTAAACTCCCAAATCAACCCGAACAATACTATGTTTTGCCTTTACAATAGTAGAGAAAACCATTCCGAATTCATATTTATACCAAGATTTCACATAACTTGAAATTTAAATAACTTGCTCTAAGTACGTTATGGGTACGTAATATTTTAAATTTGTTAGTTTGGTGGTGAGAGCTTTTATTTGACCCGAATATAGTCAATTTCCTTCACTATTCGTCAGTCGGGATGCGCGCTCGTCACTAAAAGTCCTGAAAGTCTAGCTTTGAAAGTATGCCTCACTCTTTTAAAGATATCATGCTTGAACATAATAAACAGTGGCATAAATATTTCTTTTATTATTTAACATTATAGTGCCAAGCTTGAATGCACAAATCTATACAATCGGTGTAAGTCCTTGCTGCGTTAAACCTGGTGGAACAATTACTGCTTCTTGGACTGTCTCTGGGGGAATTTCGCATGCAAATGCTGATCGGATTGGTATTTACAAATCTGATAGATGTGAAACAACTGTGGGAGGCTCATGCCCTTCTGGTGCAGATGCATTGAGCACTGTTACCAGCAATAGTACCTCTGGAAAACAAAGCATAAAAGCTCCCTCTGCAACGGGATTATATATTGCATACTATTTCCCGGATAAGGGGCTTACAATTAAAGCCATATCAATTCCATTTTTCATATCATCATCATGTGGAAGCATTCTTTTAGCAGCTAACCCAGCAACTCAGGTTTCTGGTCAAACAGTTGTTGTTACATGGTGTGGTGCTAGTATATCGGATACAGATGATTGGATTGCGTTTTGGAAAATAGATTCATCTCCAAGTACTACCGATCACAATTTTATACCTAATGCTTGGGCTTATACATACGGTGGAACAACTAAAAAGAATCAACATCCAACAGCTTCAGGGCAAGTATCTATACAGGTTCCTTCATTATTTGGAAGATACACTGTTTATTTTTGCAAAAATGCCGGATATACCTGTTCAAGCCCCACTACTGTCAAGGTCGTCGATCCAACTATATGCAAACCATCTCCTTCGACAACATCAACAGTCCAACACATCATAACTATTATTCCTGAAAATCATTCTTTTGATAGTATATATGGAAGATATTGTCAAGCCACCACAGGTTCAAATCCAACTTGTAATATTGGTCCATTTTGTTGTGAAGCAGCACCAACTAGTGTAAATGGATCATTTCCCAAAAATTTAACGGATCAAGAAAATCTTAACTTCAATCCCAGTCATAGTGCTTCTTGCGAAATATGTGAAATAAATAACGGTTCAATGGATCGATATATTACTGGGTGTAGTTGTTCAAATCCATCCAATTTTGCTATTGCCAATAGCATAAGTGCAATTGGTTATTATTCATGGGCAAAGTCATATGCGATAGGTGATAGGTACTTTCAATCTGCTGCTGGTGCCAGTACTGAAAACGATATGTATTATGCGGTCGGTAAATTCTTATTTTTGGATAATACTGCAGTTCCACAAGATAAAAATCTGAATGGTGCACGTTGTTATTCCTCCGGTTTCAAAAGTTATTATAGTACAACAATCGCAGATTTATTGAATTACTGTAACATCTCTTGGACATTCTTTGCTGAAGGATATGATCAAAATCCAACCAGTCATCAATGCTATCCATATTATTACGATGCAGGCGATGATCCATTTACGTTTTTTCCAAGTTTGATAACTTCTACACAAGTTTCTTCAAACAATTTCAGAGATCTTACCAAATTGTATTCTGACATTAGCGCTGGACAACTTCCAGCTGTTAGTTATGTCAAAACATTAGGTATTCATACTGAACATCCCGGTGACAGTACACTAACAGCCGGTCAAACAATCGTACAAAACATCGTTAATGCTATAAATGCATCGGATACATACAGAGAAAATACTGTTATATTTGTGTCTCACGATGAAAGTGGTGGCTACTATGACCATGTATCTCCACCACCAAACAGCATAATTGATAATCAACCATATGGTCCTAGGATGCCATTTGTTGCTATCGGATATCAAATTAAACAAAATTATATTTCACATGTTCCAATGGAACCGTCGAGTTTAATTAAATTTATTGAATGGAACTGGTTTAATGGTTCAACAGGTCAATTAGGAACTCGTGATACAGTTGTTAATAACATTGGCGATATGTTTAATGATACAAAAACCGGTGTTACGATTCCTTCAAACTAATTAGTTTTCTGCAACAGTTACTTGATATGTCTTCTGTCGCTAGTTGTAAAAGCTCCGCCGCCTCTATTTAACCCTCTCACATTTACTGCATGTTTAGTTAGTTTTCTCAAGAAGAGTAATAAATTTAGTACTGAGTTACAGTAATCAAGTAAATATTGTGTCTGGATGTAGGTAAAGACGTGTGTAAGCAAGACTACAATACGTGTTTCTGTCTTTCTACAAACTTCATCAGGTGGGTATGTGATATTTTCAGAATTTCACGACCAGTTTCGTCCTTTCTCAGCGAACTCGTTAGGTGGCTTTAAATATTCGGCATCTAATTCAAAAAAATTCCAAGTTGATAAATTTGTAAATTTGCAAAAGCTGTATTCAAATGTATGACTGCGAAGAATTATGGTCTGGACGAAAGAATAGTTAGATCTGTAATAGATAACAAAATAAGTCGCCCTTTAATGGACTATTCATATGAGCAACACGATGCCCACATTAGTAGGCATATAGAAATCTTCAAATCTATCCAACACAAAGGAGAAGAAAAGTCTTTTAGATCCATCTAAATCAGATATGTCTTCTTATGCAGAAATTAGACGTTTCACTTCTCATGTTTCTCGATTTATCAAACGCTTCACGATATTTAATCTTTGATAGTGTCGATGCGCGCTTTGATGAAAAGAATATTGACATCTCATCGCCATAGACTTCAATATTGTGGTGCAAAAAGATCCAACTGGTTGGATTTCTCTTGATCATTTCACTAGGACGACGGATTGCTGATATAAGATAGTATGTGGACGATTGTATTATCTTTCTGTCACTGAAACGGATGCCTAACAACATCGTAGATATCGAAACTATGGAGTTTTCATCTTTGGACATGACAAAGACCATTTGATTCTGTGCCTGTTGAAGAGATTGCAAATTCTTGAGTTCAACCGTGGAGTATGGAAAAAAAGTGCATACTCCAGTGACAAAATGTTACGAGACGAGAACGAACACTTTATGATATGCTTCAAATGGAGATAAGACACTTTCGTGCTGAAAACGTCTACGCACTATAAACCGCTATTTTTAAACTCGTATAAGATGGAATAACACACGGTAGATTCTTCATACCCACTTCAAATATTCTGTATTACATCCAACCGGACAGAAAACGTTAGAGCACATTCGTGATCGATTTAGAGATGTTTGCTTTGATAGCTGCAGTTTCAGAACACTCTGCCGAAAACTAGCATTAGAAAACTCAACTATGGCTCACTCATAAAATGGAGAAATGACTAGTATATTGTCTGTTGTCAGATATCACATTACTCGCAAGAAGAAATACGTCAAGTCCACCATTATACATACCGAGACCGATCAATCCGAAGAACGTAACAATTTAAACGTGGTTTTACATGTTCGGGTTTTGAATTAAGCGATCTATTTAAAGGAAAAGCGACAATTCTGTGTTTTAAGGTTCCTTGATAGATCTCCATGACGATTTCTTAATTGTTTCAATTTAATTTTCATCTTGTATTGTTGTTATATACGTTAAAGTTTGTTATCTATTAATCTATTTCAAACTATACTATGAAATTTTCTTTTTGTAATTCATTTAATTTTTCGAATTCGAATTATGAAAAAACTTTTATTGTATAGTTTGAAATTGATTAATAGACAATAAAGTTTAACTTATATGACAACAATACAAGATGAGAATAAAACTGGAACAGTTAAGAAGCTATCATAACATAATCTCTCAAGAAAGCTGATAGTATAGACTGTTGCTTTTTCCGTACATAAATCATTCAATTTAAAAACTCGAACGTCTAACAACGAGTGAGCATATCGAGGAAGTGACTCACAGATAGATAAGATTTAATTTATTTGTATATTTTGTTTAAGACTAAGTTATAGATGTGTAGAACTTATGACCAATAATTATTTGAGATTATTATTCGTTATATCTTCGTTAGCATGAACGAACGAAACTCACAGACGACGTATGACGTTCCTTCTTTTCTCGATAGCGCAAATCAAGAATGAATAACTGGTGTATTTGATTGATTTAATATATTACTCACTTATACTTAATCTGAGGTAAAGAATTTCTACGTTTTTATAGACGGTGTAAGGATATCTATCTATTAACTAAGTCAAACTAACTGACCAAATAGAAGAAAGAACGATTCATTAAGTTGCGTGAGAAAAATATCTCTAGGTAGTGGTTTGCGATTAAAATGAATAACGAAACATGAAGGAAGGGAATAAATTAAATACGGATAGGAGACAAAAAACGAAATGGAAGTGAAGTGAAAAGAATAGGGAACGACATAGGAGAATGGAAAAGTATGAGAGTGTGGAAAAAAATTCAATGGTTAAAAAATCGAGAAAAAAAACGAAAAAAAACGTTGTAACATGTTTGAAGTTTATCGACTCGTCAAAACTGACTTTTTTTAAGCTCTGAAACATCTGCTCAAAGTAACAATTTAAGAGATCGAGAGATATTCAAAACCAGGTTATTTGTTATGATGAATAATTCTAGAGAAGTTGTTTATAATAAAAACTTAAAGAGCACTGTCAACAACGATTGGCTTAATAAAACTCGTAAAAACATTTCTTTCTCATACTTAACATTCGTGCATGAGATGTGTCATTTTTACTGTTTTTTTCTGTATTATATAACCAGTATTTCTAATGATTTTTGGAAATTTTGCAACGAAATCTATGAAATCATCACAACAAGTATATAGTAGTTTGTTATTGTCATCGAATATAAAAATAACAACAAAGGAAAGTACAATAATTGACCTGAACCATGGAAAGATAAGAAATTTGTTGAATAATCTTCTTCGATCAATCACAGATAGCAATTCTGTACATTATAACAGTCGTTCCACAATTGAAAGAATAAGTCAAATATCTTTATTCTCTTGAAAACTGCGTAAGTTTTATACTATCTCGTTTTTTTGATAATCGGTATTGTGATCGCTAGACACATCACAACTGAGAAGAGATATTAGGGTGAGATGATTCTCTCTTACTCTGACGTCTTCGCACCATCATTGGTATTCATTTACCATGAATAAGTATAAATAATCTGTGTGTGTATATTTACAATTAATATATACATGACTATATTGTGTTATTGTTATTGGACGACAAACTACATAGCCTTAGAAATTAATATTTAACGATTGTATGATGTAAAAACATGTTTTTTGGTTTATTATGCACAAACCATGAAGAATGTTCTTGGATGTCTGTCGATTCTCTTTCTTTTTTAGAAGTTAACGGTTTGTTCCATTCATGGAAATAATGGCTTTTGACTCATGACGAGTGTTGAATCACTGCATACGCAGTTTTACTTCCTATGTAATGGCAATATCGTCCACTCGTTCTTGAAACAGTAGTGTCTCTTACTCGTCATAGGATTGTGCGCACCTGTTGATTCCTCTCATCGATTTCTCATAAAAGTGTATGTTCTCTCGTATTGTATTTATTTTTGTTGTTGGTTGCATAATATGCTCTACTTTTCATTTAAATTTGAAGTATATTCTCGCAACAGTACTATGTGGGTGTGGGTCTGGCTAAGGAGAAGAAATATACCAACACCTACACCCTTCGTTTCTGGGCGTAAGACTAGAGAAAACTAGATAGTCTAAGAAGCAATCTTCTCCTGAGAATTACTATAACTTTTTATACAGTAACTGCTTGTTTTCAGTGGATTAGCATGAAGCATTTACAGGGTATTTCAAAATCCGCTATCTTGATTGACCTTCATCAATTGATTCTTTTGATATGGTAGATGACATCATCAAGGTTTTATTTCTATGGATCAGCTGTAAGAGTACTCTTTGAAGTTATTACCTTTAGCCGAGATATAAAAATTTAGCTTTTTTTCTGATTCCATAATAGTATTACGCTGAATATTGACTTGATATCACTCGATTGTTTGTTATTGGGACATGTCAAAACTAATTTCTATCAAAACGACTTCTCGAGATTTGAATAATTTAAAGATCAGAATAATTCCAGAATTCGAAACAATTAAAGAAAGAAACACTGTATAATATTGTTATGAAATCAAAAACTTGATGGTCTCATCTATCATACAAAAAAAAGTCAATTGATAAATGTCAATCAAATAGTGAAGTTATACGAACAAAAACATTTTTCGATAGGATTTTTGGCACGTTTAAACATAAAAAAAAAACATGTTAAAAAGTGTGTATGCATGGATTGAGAGAAAAAGACTAAATAAAAAAATATATTAACCATATGATGTATTGACACGAATACTTTCATCCTACTATAAAATATGCATTTGCCATTTTAGTACGGGCATCAGCTGCAGTGAAGAATGAAGACAGTTTTCGAATGATCTTTTTTTTCTACATTTATGTATATCAAATAACAAAACTTGACTTTTTCACAGCAGCTTTGTCTATTTGATTTATCTCAGTTTATCAACGTTTTTTTTTTTTTTCAGTGATTATTTTTTGGAAACAAAGATACGCAGTTCAAACAATGTGTTACTAAATTAGAAAATACGATAAAAATTATTGAATCAGTTCGGTACTTCATATTTAAACCTAAATTTTCATCAAGTGATTAACTTACATTTACATTCAATTTATCGAAAGCTAGCTTTATTCTTTTTGGCACATTAAAAATATAAAGACAAAACACATCAAAAGATGTATTTGCATTTGAAGAAGAATAAGAAACATACTATTAAGAATCAAAGTAACAGCTGGCTTTTTGTTGCTTGACGTTCGATCATTTGGTCGATTGTCACTACGTATAAAAATACTTGTGAATATTCAGTCTTTTTTATTCAGATTTAAGCAAGAGAATGTGTCAAACGAGTGCTTTATTATATGCCGCCTTGTTTTTCTTAATAGTGCCAGTTATACCTAATGTTGTTGAAAGTGACCCTGTTATCAATGAAAATCAACGTTCATCAGTGAGCAAAGAAAGTTTAGCAGTTGAAAATGATACACAACAAGTTTCTCAATCCTCTCAAGATTCATCAAGTTCAAATTCCATGAATGAAGTGTCTTCACAATCTTCTCAGGCGACCCTAGCACCTGCGAATGAAGTACCTACTCAACCTTCTCAGATACCTTCAACATCTACAGATGAAGTACCTCTGCAGCCTTCTCAACAGACCCCAACTCCTGCAAGTGAAGCATCTGCCGAACCTCCTCAGTCGGCTTTAACTCCTTTGAATGAAGTGCCTTCTCAGGCAGCTCCAACTCTTACGAATGAAGTACCTCTACTAATTTCTCAGGCGATTCCCACTCCTATAAATGAAGTGCTCGCTCAACCTTCTCAGGTGGCTCCAACACCTACGAATGAACTATCGCAAGCAGCCTCGACTGCTGATCATCAAGCTCAAGTTAATCCTAACCTAACTTTTGAAAGTGACGTTCCATCTTCTCAAAGTGATTCAGCAGGAACGGGAGCTACTATAGATGATACTGAAGATGCCAATGAAGAAGTTAGTCATCAGAAATATGAAGGTCATCGAAGCGAAGATCTTTAATGTTGGTCAGACTGTACATGCCATCAGAAGATTAATGATACACTGTAATTCCATTTTGAAACTCATTGTGTCATAAATTTTTGTTAATTTGATGGATCATATTGCATTTTTGTTTTTTTTCACTCATCAATAGAGACGCCACATAATCATTACTATTTTATCCCTATTTGCTTTGTTTTTAGTATTTTAATGATTTTGCTCTTTTGAAGTTTAATAATATACTGATGTAGGTATTTTAAAGATAGAGAAAATCAATAATTCTTCTAGCCTTTTCAGCATGTTGATATCTAACTTAAGAAATATAAAAGAAAATCGAACCATAAAGGAAAAGCAAAACTTTCTCTCTCCCACAAAAATGATTCATTTCATCAATCCTGTTGTGAACAAATGCTGTGCAAAACTGAGGAGATACTACGGAAAATTCAGTAGATCCAATGAGAAATAGAATGAATCCTGCTGGAATCGAATGTAGGTATCATTCAGTTACAGTTGGGTCTTTGTGTTGTTCCGTTGAGTTTTCCGCCATTTTCTTTACCTTTCGGCGAGATTTGGGTTGTTTTCTATCGGTTTCCAGTTTCGAGATAATGTTGGAAACTAACCATTTTCGTTTTGATGGCTTTTTTGGTCCAGAATACTGCTTCCAAGTTTCTTGTGTATACCAGTCGAATCCTGCAGGAAACACTCTGGATAAGTTAGCGAATATGGCCGCAATCAACGATCTGGCTCTTCAAAACCATACTAATGCTCAAAAACATTTGAGAGATAAACGCAAGAAAAACTCACGAACAATGAAAGAATCTTATCCTGATGTTGATTATGTTTTAAAGAAAGTATTTCAAGCAATTGCTTCTGTTTTTTTATGTTGACGCGTTTAATTTTTGATATGAATTAAAATAACCTATCGAAACGCACACAAATAATAAAAATAACCAATTTGAAGACAAAAAAGACTGGTTTGAAAGTAAACTTGTCATTTTAGTATCACGAAATTTGATACTTCGGCTATGTGAAAAATGTTGCAAGCTCATTAACGATGAATCCAGTTTGGAGATGTGCTTTGCACTGAGTTCACATTATGGGCTTGGTCCGTGTACTATCTAGTATTTTCTAGGAAGAATTGAATAATCGGATTTTCAACAAACAGAAACTTGTAAAGAACAAAAATTAAAGAAAAAAAATGTTCAACATCATTCACACCTATAAAGTCAGCAATTATTATGAAAGAACTTACATGATTTTACCGGACAGATACTTTATTATATGCGTCATGATTTCATTGTTATTTTCATTATGAATCCTTGTGAAAACTATGAAAGAAAAAAATATATATTTAGTCAAAGAGCATTCTGACAGAATCTTATTAAACTCAAACATGTTATTATTTCCTTATTTCCTTTTTCTCTCCTCTCTTCACAAAAACATTCTTTGTTCGGTAAAATTAATTTTTAAACACTTTCATTGTTGATCTCTTATTATAATAAGATTATTCACTAAAAGAAAAAATAATTTATCCCATCAAGTAATAGAGCAAGTCCTTTCTTATTTTTTGCATTTTTGAATCTATGTATTTTCTCTCTTACAGCTTGATTCAAAGGACAAGTGGCGATAAGGCTATTTTTTTATCCAAAATATTTTTAAAAAAGAATTACATATTCGGAATCAGCATTAAATTCTGAGTAAAACAAATGAGGTACTTTTTTCTGTCGAAAAACGACTTACATTTTTTACCTGTAAATTTGTACCTGTAAGAGATTCCAGGACCATCGAAAAAAATTTTTTTTCAAATTATTTTGATTCATACATCATCAGATGCAGAATCTGATGTTGATTCTAAATTTCTGGTTAGAATTGAAAAATAAGGAAATTTTGACCGTGAAAAACCTACGTTTCCGATTGCCGGCGTCAGAGCACCTAACAACGACACTATAAACTCTAAAATGGTTGTAGTCGTGTGACAATCTGCTTTTCTAATGAGAAGCAAATGAAAAGGCTGATTCTAGTCGAGTTTTGGACAACTTGTCATTATACCTAATAATATAGACTCTATCAAAAAAAATTCGCACCTAAATTCGACTGAGGAGGAGTACGGATGAAGTTACGATAGAAAAGAGCTGAGGGGAAGTAGGGGTCGAAATTTTATTAAAAAATTAATTTTGAGAGAGTCCGTATTATTAAGTGTACTTTTGAGCGCTGATTCTAAATAGTACATTCATTTTAGTCAAAAAAGCATTTTCTCGGTCGTAATCTGGAAACACTGGCATAGTTTTTTTGCTGATCTTTTGAGTATCTGATACTAAAACTGTCCAAAACTCGACTAGAATCAGCCTTTTTCACATGCTTCTCATTAGAAAAATAGATTGTCACACGGCTGCAACCATTTTAGAGTTTATAGTGTCGTTGCTAGGTGCTCTAACATCAGCAACTGGAAACAACCTTTTATTAGCATTACATCCACAGTAAAGTAAGTTTTTCGCGGCTAAAACTCCATTGTTTTTCAATTTTAACCAGAAATTTAGAATCAACATCAAATCCTGTGTCTGATGATGTGTGAGTTAGAAGCAAAATCGTTTTTTTTCCTCATTTTTGTTACTCAGAACCGTCGAATACTACTCCACAAATACAAAGTGACATCACGGAGAAGTTTGCACTGGATGAAGAGACTGTATTTGACAGTCAAAATAACGATAGTGATGATGATGATGAAGATATATTAAATTCAAAAAAAGTTCGACTTTAATGGAATAAAAGTAGTCAATAATATTAATCTAGCCTTACGGCAATCATATTTCAAAATCAAAATAAATGAGAACATTAAGTATCTTCACGAACAATCGACCTGTTGACTGTTATCGAACAATATAACGAAATTATCAAACGATCGTTTATCCTGTGTCATGAAATAAACAGGTGATATTTATTAATCAGCTCACTACTTATGTTTTTTTTTCTCTAAATAGTGATTTTTTTTTTCGAAATAATCTAATTTTGTTTCGTACACTTCACGTCTTTCACGGTACTTTGAAATATTTTTGATGTTTTGAAGTATTTTGTCATACTTCTAGAGAATTCAACATACTGTGATATACTTTGAATGTATTTTAGTGTACTTTAAATTACTTCTGAATACTTTGAGCTACTCTTACATACTTTAAATAACTTTTATATTACGAAGTTGTTTCCATTTAAAGCATGCTATTTTCTGCTTGTTAATTATATAGAACGCATCTTACAACATTTATTATAGGCATAGATATGCAATGTGTCTTTTCTTAACTCAACAGGCCTTTTCTTCTTTGATCATTGAAATACAGTAATAACAGGATGAGTCTCACATCGTTTGAAGAATAAATGATAAGAAAATGTGTTTCATCCGCGTTTTTGATTTTTGAGTATAGGGAAGAACAACGAGAAGCAAAACTGTGTCTTGCTTCAAGCTGTCTGCATTTACTACTTCTCTGAGAAATAAAAGAAAAACCGGTGTTTATATTACTGCTTGGAAGTATTAACTCTTGATTAAATACGACAGAATAACTTCAAGAAGATGAAGGAGACATCATTTTCTTTTCTATAGTGCTCATTCATAGTGTGAGCTTAATCATTCACATTTCAACCTGTTGATTAGATTATTGTCATTCATTCTCGAATTTCGCTATTATGTCGTCACTTATTGACACACTCAACGAAATTAATTTGAATATATATATGTATGTTGGATTAACCGAAGTAGTGATAGGAACAATAGGTAATGTACTGACTGTGGTTCTCTTTAGTCAAGCTCCTTTATATTTGACGCGTACTGCACCGTATTTAATTATATTGGCAATATTGAGTACGATCTATTTGGATTATCTATTGATAACACGTTTTATTGCTAGTGTACAACATCAATCTGACACTACGTTTGGCTATGCTATCTTATGTCCTCTACGGACTTTCATTCTCTGGACATTTTTTACTATAATTATGTTACTTTTATCGTGGCTTAGTATTGACAGGTAGTAATATTTAAATATCAAGTTTTATTATATATGTCTGAAAAACTGTTTTCATTTTTAAGATATTTGTGTTCATGTCGCAAAGTATCGAGACGTGCTTGGAGTACAAAGAAGGTCTTACGAAACGTGACACTGGGCATCGTTTTCTTTGGCCTTCTAATCAATTGGCCTTATACTATCTTCTGTAGAAATACGATAGATTCATTGACAGGCACAATAAGATGCAATATTCAAAATACTGTATTGCTTCAATTCTATGTAAAAATATATGATAGTTGTGCATCGCAGAATAGAAAAAAAATCTCATGTTTGTATTGTTACTTAGATATACTTTGAAGTGCTCGTGGTTTTCACTCTGCTCCCCTTGACATTACTGAGTTTCTTTGGCTTTCTAACATTACGCAATTTTCGCACGGTGAGACAGACGACAAATCAACTTGAACTACAAATGACTCGAGCAATTGTTCTACAAACAATCGTTACTGCTTGTGCTTTAGTACCCCCTTGTTTCTACAACCTGTAAGTACAAAAACACAACAAATATCTCATTTTGCAGAATAAAATAAAAACAAATTGCATATACAGTTATGTTTCATTATAGATACGTGATGTGGACATTAACAGTTGTGAAAACACCATTGCGTCTCGCAATCGAAGGACTAATTAATACCATCAGTATTCATCTCACCTATATCCATCTATGCTCGAGTAAGAGAAATTTTCTACCATATATCGTATTTATTCAATGTTTTATTTTGAAGATTTTTACATTTATCTCATCAGTTCGAAGGAAGTACGTCGGAAAATGAAGATTCTCATTTGTCGCATCACAGAAGTAAATAATCAAGTCATACCTTATAATATCACAATACGACATCATCGTGTGCCGAAACTCTAAGCAAAACGCTGTCGGATGTCACACAACAATCGAGACATGATGAACTTTATATTGATGTTTAATTATAAATAAAATCACAAACAAATTAGCTCATTACTATACTTTGAAATAAAATACTAATTTCATTGATGAAATACATATTATATGTTGATGATGGCAGTGAAATAATAGTTTCGAATAGTAGAATCAATCTTTACCCATTCTTTTGATCTACAAGTCGAAATTGTTCATGGGATAGAATGGCATCTATTTCAAAGAATTGAAGACAATCCCATGCTTTTTCAGAGATCAATTGGCTCTCGTTATTCTCAAGACGATATTAGTCAAGATTGCTTCTATTGTTACCTCATCCTTACCTTCATCGTTGAGATTATTGGCAAAAGTTCAGTGTATTTTCGTTTATTGACCACATTTATTTCGAGGCATGAACTAGATTATGAGAACTAACCATAGGTAATTATCGAAGAAAGTAACTCCAAGCTCTTGACGTTCTGTGAATATTTAAAAATTTATAAAAATGGATGTGGGTGTGTGGATGCGAGTGTGGGTATAGTATGATGTAGGGTGTGGATTTGATAGAACTGAAGGGTCTCCAACACTCACATCTCGTAGCTGCACCCACACCCTACTAAAAGACTACTTTTCTTGTAATTCTCGTCTTACATGAAAAGTTAACGAAGTAACAATATCTTTATGGTTATATAACTTAAGAAAATATGACAACATCATTAATGTACAATACGAATTTTTTTATATTAATACCTTTGAAAATCGTATAAATTAAATGAATTTTATTTCAAACTAGAGAATCGATGTGTGAATCTAAGTGAAGAGCGATGAAGAGAAGAACAATGCTTCGTAAATTTGCGAACTATTTTGAGTTTAAACTTTTTTTTCTTCTCGTTAGTTTTATCTCGTTAAATTTCAAGAAACAATTTTCATATTGCTAGTAAATTATATTGAATTATTTAACTCAGTTATAATTAAAGAATCTTACAGAATCTCTATACCTTAGTTTAATAGGTCGAATGTTTCAAACAGTTTTTCTTACATTTTTGTCTATTTCCAAATATTTTCATCCAGGTGTTATACGACTAGCAATCTGCATGACCATGATTTTTTAGTCATAGTCACGATCATAACTATGAGAAATTTATGGATTCTGTAACAGTTACAGTCACAGACACAAAAAAATTTCACTGAATAACGACATCTTCTGATAATTATTAGAACTGAGAATTTTTTCTAAAAAGATATTAGTTTATGAAAATCCAAGTAAACTTCATGATAGTGATTTGTAATTCATATTGATAGATCAAGTTGTCGTCAAAAATTATTTCCTACCGATCTGATATACAATCGAATTCTTCTTACTGCCATAAATCACGATTTCTAAACTTTTAACACGCAGTAAACCCGAACAGCTTTTAAAGAAAAATGACACCACAATCACATTGAAAAAGATTCAACAGACCGATCATTGTTCATCTTTCTGGGCACAATTTAGCCTCGTATTTTTGGATGACGTTGTTCAAAATTTCGTATAATATGATATTGTCGAACAATTATTACTGATAAAAGTTCAACTGGTGCTAGTGGTTTAAAAAATCGTTGAATATTGTATGATAGAGATACATCATCAGATGCAATACAACCAATTATTACAAGATATATCCTTGGCCATAGTTATGCTACAGTCACGCTCACACTCACGCGTGATCGTGACCATTTTGCAGATCTCTATATGCGTTTCATCAGGACACAGTTTGTTTATGAAACTCGTAGACACTAATGTCCAACTATAGAAGTAACGTTTCTAAAAGTTTGGACTTCATTCTCTAAATTATAACTGCTACATTTTATAAATTAAAACAATATAAGGAAGGAAACTTTAATTTATCTAACAATCAATATGACCTTTCTAACCAGAAAACAAAAAAAAGTTCTAGCATAATCTCCATGACTCATATTATTGCCTTAATTCTATTTTTCGATAATTTTGATAGCGTTCTCCGAAGTTGAATAACATAACATAGAGACATTTATTCTGATTTTTCGAAAACAATATATACGTATAATACGAATAACAAGCATTTTGAATAGAATAGATACTATTTAAATATAAGAAAATATTGCGAGGCTATGATTGAAATGATTCTGCTTATTGTCGCTTGCTTTTGGTTTTGAATTTCTAAGTCAACTCTCGTTGATCTTTCATATTCAAGAGATTGGTTGAACTCTCGTATGACAAGTGCATCGATGATTTCTACACGATTCCAAAATTCGAACACTATTTCAAGCAATAAATCGCAAGGTAATGGTGAGGCTACCGTGGAGACCAAGTAGCGATGTTATCACATACAAAATGTCATTGCCTTTTACATATTCATAGCAGAGATGGACGAGCCGCGGTGCGAAAACTTGACGGGGCGGGATGGTGACGGTGCATGACGAAATTTCGCGGTTTCCCCGCCTTTGTATAACCTTCGTTTTTTAAATATACTCAGATCTTTGGAGACATCTTTTAAAAATTTTTAAAACTTTTTCACACAAAACTAATCAGTAAAAAGAAGCTTGTTAGTGTAGCTCCAAAGGAGCTAAAATGTGGAACCCACGTAATATGTGTTTGTCATGGGATGAGGAAAGAGGAGGGAGAGCCGTCAAACCTCAAACTTAAAACATACACTTACTATTTTCTTCGAAAATATAAGTGAGTTTCACAAAATGAGTGATTTTATTATAATTGTTTTTCATTTTCATGATTACTTTTTTTCTATTTCGAAATGATGTTTATGGATTTAAAATATGCCTTTTCTTCTCATGAAATAAAATAGTCATTATGAAAGTTTAAGGGAAAATTTGTCGAGAAACAGTTTTTGAAAACATTTTCGACGGGGCGGTGACGGTTTCAATGCTGAACAGGCGCGGCAGTGGCGGTGACGGTGCGACTTTTTTGTTGACTCGTCCATCTCTGATTCATAGCGTCATACACTTGGTACATATGAAGCCGAATAATTTTCATAGGATATTTTTGTTTTCAGCTGCTCAACCAACAATTCACTTGTAATTGTACTGATGGAAGTGTTTGGTAAAAACGGTGATAGTATTGAATTATCTAGCGGATCAAGTATCAGAGGAAGCACAGTTGGTGGAATGAAATAAGCGGATGGTGACCCATCCATCTGTATATAGCATTCGAGGTAGATGAGAATAGTAGCAAAGCAGTCCGATAAAAAAAAACATTCGAGAGTTGACATTTGCAGTCTATCAACCAGCGAACAGCCTTTGACAAGACCAAGTAAGGGTGTGGGTGTGGGTGTGGGTGGGCGTGGATGTACAACTATTTTTCATTCACACCTACGCCCACTCCCACACTCACGCCCTTGTTTGAAAGATAATGATATTTTCACTGGTGATCCTAGATCAAAACATGCATTTTTACAATTAGAACGTATTACACATGATTTATATTTCAAACAATTACCAAGAAACTTAATAAGATGTGCTCAATCAGAATATAAAATTATTCGAAATATTCAACGTCTTTTACGTGAACAGCCAGATATTGTCGTACGTCGAACAGATAAAAGTAAAGTATTTTATATTGGTAAAGTGGATGATTTTGAACGAAAAGCACAAGAATATATGTTAAAAACTCAAGCTTATGTAGAAGTTACCAATGGTCGTTGTCCTTTAGCTGATAATTTACATGCTGTACAAACTTTACTTGATTATCTTATGGCTAAAAATGTAATTACTAGAAAACAACATAATAAGTTATTACTAAATCTAAACAAGCTAGAATTAGGTCATTATCATGGTCTTCCTAAATCACGTAAAGTATGTGTATTTCGTTTTCAATCAATTAGTATGTTATTTTTCTTTTCCATTTAGTCTGGAACACCTTTACAACCTATTATTGCATCAATCAATGCACCAGCAACATTGGTATCAAAATTTTTGAATGATTTTTTAGCACCTATGTTTCTTCAAGTTGCTCGTAAAATAACATTTATTAATGGTATTGATGTGGTTCGGAAATTAGAAAAATATGTTAGTGATGGTCGCTTTAAATCGGCAACAAAATTTATTACAGCTGATGTTACTGATCTTTATACAATGATACCAAGACAAGGTGCATTAGAAACATTTGCTCGATTTTGTCTTAAACATTCGAAACGAGGTAAAATAGGTACATTCACAATTGATCATATTATGAAAATGGCTCATCTAATTTTGGATACAAATACTTTTATCTACAATAAAAAATATTATCGACAAATTCGTGGTAGTGCTATGGGTTCAGCATTTACATAAGTCTTAGCTAATATTTATATGTTCGAATGGGAACAAGATTTAATTAAACATCAACAGAAACATAATGAAATTTATGGAAGGTATCTTATAAACTAATTAAACAAACTATTCTTTTTTGTAATTGCGTCTACTTCCTTTTCTTTTCACAAATAGATATATTGATGATATATTCATGATAACAAATGAAACAATAGATGAAATTAAAGAACAACTTGAAAAAGCACAAAATCAAGATGTCAATATCAAAATTAATAATAAGATTGATATATCAGTTGATTTTTTGGATGTTTGTATTATCAATGAAAATAGTCAATTAAAAACAAGAATTTATCATAAACCAGCTGCTGAACCATATATTTTACCGTATAGATCAATTCATCCACGTCATATACATCGTAATATACCATATGGTGCTTTATTACATGCTGTTCGAATTTGTTCTAATATAAATGATTTTAATACTGAACGTTGTCATATTGATGTATCATTATTATTAAATGGTTATCCACCAAATTTTATTACAAAACAATTTTACTGTTTATTTCATTTAAATAATGATATGTCTGGATTAAAACTAATGAATGAAAATGCTTATCATCATATACATCAAAGATTACTACATCACCCTACACGACATGAGAAAGAACTAAAGAAAATGACTGAAGATCCAATTGAAAAACCATTCGTATTATAACAGAAAATATGGAATAAAAAATTAATGTTTCCAAAATATTTATTCGATAGTGGAGAATCAGCAAATTCACAAAAACAATTTATAACATGGTGGACAAAATATTATGCATATCCAGGTTCAAATGTTAAAGATGTAAAAGTGTGATTAATAGGTACAACTCATCGTACTCTTGAAGATTTCTTCGTTCATAAGAAATCTTCCAAAGAAATGTTAACCAAAATGGAATCTTAATCAATAACAACTATTTAAACATTATTAATTAAAAACTTCTAAACTATATATCATGTGTATTCATATGATTTGCACATTGTAATAATAGAATTAAAAGAACTATGTTCGTTAAAGATAACCTTGTCTAAAATATTAATTATCAAATAAATACTTATACACTAATCACTATATTTTCAAATACTCATTTGCCCAAATAAAAGAAACATCCTATACTTCTTTATTCGTTTTAGATATATACTATCTTATTCACTTTCTTTCAACAAAAACAACGTTTTTAAAACAAGCAAAATTATAACTAATCTTATGTGAGTATTCCTAATACAAGCGACTTGCTACTTGTCCATACTACATCTGTTTTAGAATGAATAATAATCAGAGCCAAATGGGTAGCACTCCATCAAAACCACTCTGCTACAAGAATACAAATGAATCGAATATTAATCAAATGCTCTCAATCAGGCTTATCACTGCAAGTCAACCATTCATACCATTCAACACGACAAATATGATTCCAACTCAAAAGACAATTCATTCGTAATGTACCACAACCTAACAATTTAACTACACGACAGTTAGGTAGACGAATACGATGCCAATAAAGACGACAAAAACAACAACAGTGAGAAGAAGAAATCGAAGCACAACAACCAGTATTTCAACTGATACGTCAAAGATCCACAATGTCATTCGATGGTGAATAGTATCATGATTATTGGGAATCTCTTGGCTTCCCGGAATACATGGATGAAGCATACAATGATCTGTTATTGGAAGCATATGAATGGGAAAAAATGCATCCAAAAGAACGGTGGGAACAAAAACAATTGAATAAATTCGAAAAACTAGCTGCATTGCAACAATTACCTTTGATCCAACACGAAATTAAACAACAGAGACAAATTGATGAAGTAGTCAAAATGTTAGAAGAAGAACAAGCACAGCAGAATCGAGAACAATTAATTCGCCGGCAACTATCGGAAAATGCAGCTTTTATAGTTCAACAACTACCTGAGAACTAACTTTTTCTCATTTATATTATACATCTGTAAAAATTATAAATATTCAATAAAGTTAATAAAGATAACCTTACATCTAAACATAATACAATTCCACCCCATAAGGTCCATCAACGTAGAATTGTTTCCATACAATTTTATTTGCCGATGCAACCATCAACACTCCAAAGTCTCCTACTCTTGGTTGGATCTAATAACTTTTTTTTGATATGAGATTTAATTCAATGCAGAATTTAATTCCGAATTTATATGACGAGTCCCTTAAGCAAGGACGAAACGCGTCGTAAGTAGCTTGGAATTATTTCCTTTAAACTCACCCTCACACCCTCACCCTCACCCCTCACCCTCACCTCTCACCCTCACCCCTCACCCTCACCCCTCACCCTCACCCCTCACCCT